GGTGGGGGGGGGGGCTCTCTGACAAGCCTCAACGCTTGCTCATCACCTCCAGTCCCTGCCGCCCTCCCTACTCTCTGGGTGGTCTGGCAGCTGAGCAGGATACAGATTGTACCTTGGGCAGGGCCCCAGCCAGCCCCCCCACACCCCCACACATGCTGCTTTCTTCTGTTTCCTCCCTGCTCTCTCTCTCTCTCTCTCTCTCCTTGTTTTCTTTCCTGCTTCGCTCCCCACTCTCTCTTGCTTCACACTCCCTCCTTATTTTCATATTTGCTGCACTTTCTCTCTCTCTCTCTCTCTGCTCCTGTTCCTCCTCTTTCTGCTCCTCTTTTGTATTTCACCCCCCAGCCCTGCGCTCTCTTCCCCATTCTCCCTCTGACTGCCCCCCAGCCCCCGAAGCTCCGCATTTTCACCCTTTTTTCTCTCCCCTTGTGTTCTACCTCCCAGCATGCCCGCAGAAAGCCTCCCCAAACCCCAAATCCCGGTGTCAATGCTTGGATCCGCTTTGTTATTTTAGGAGCTCCTTTTCCTGCCAGGGTGGGGGGGAAGCTGTGTGATTCCCCCTCCCAGGCCTGTCCCGGCTGGCCCCCTTCTTCCTGGGGGGGGCGTTACGGGCTCCCAGTGTCAGCAGTGTTGTGGCAGCCCCCAGCAGTGGAAGCTGGTGGCCGCCCTTGTCCCCTGCATGGGGGGGTGGGTGGGGGTTGGGCCCTTGTATGATGAGCAGCCCTTGAAGGAACACCCCCCCAGGACACCGGCTCAAGCAAGCTGTCTGCATGGTGGATATTAACCATATTAATGCCCCCCAGCATGGCGGCATGTCGGCCCCAGTGGCTTGTGGGGAGAACGAGGGCTTTGGCGCCGCATTGAGATTGGGGACCAGTATGCTGAGGACACTTCTGCTATGACCAAAATGACCATTAGCAGCACTTACTGCTGCCGTAACTTTCCGCTGTTTTCCGGCTATGTTTTTCCCTATAAGGTTGGCCATATCCTTCATGCCCGTCTTGCTGTTTCGCCGCTGTGATTTTCAAGGTGTTTTCTGGCATGAACCTTTTATATTTGTGCTGACTGGGCGAATGCACTTGTGTGCAGAAAGTGCGATGGTGATCAAACCCTGCACCTCCCACTGGTCATCCCTCATGTGGCGTCACTCGAGCCCCCGGCTTCCCTGCAGCTCCTAGCCGGGGGCTCCGGAAGCCTGGCACCAATCGCAAAGGGGCTCAAGCGACAGAGTGTCTGTCCATCTCTGTCATGCTTGATCCTCTGCATCCGCGAGCGTGTTCAGTGTTTTTCGGGATTTCCATAGCGATACAAAAGGCCCGGTGTTGTCGCTGAAGTGCATCTCATCTCACCAGCGCATTTGCCGTTTGAATGTTTGTGTATGTCTGCGCTGTGTACTCCCTCAGCTGTAAAAGTGTGAGGGTTTTATTGAGCTGGGCCTGAGTGAGCCTGAAACTCCTCCCCCCTCATTAAAGCCCCTCCCCCTTTCATTAAAGGCCCTCCCCCACATTTCTTCCCACTCAGGCGGCGGTGGTGGTCGTCTTCAATTTCGCCATGGTGCTGCTCATCTTCCCCGCCATCCTCAGCATGGACCTGTACCGCCGCGAGGACCGGCGCTTTGACATCTTCTGCTGCTTCGTCAGGTAAGTGGGCAGCTTCCGCTGCTTCCTGCTCCCGGCTCGTTTCCCCCATGAAGGAAAAGGAAGGGTGGGGGGTGGGGGTGGGGGTTCACCCTCTGGCCTGCTCCAGGCACATATTTCCTCCACGCAGTCATCGCATCGTCATTTGAAGGAAATTAAACTTAATGCCCAAACTTTCCTCTCCATCATCACGCTCTTTTTTTTGTTAGTAGTATCCTTCCAAGAAGCATGTTGGAAGGGTTTTCTTTGTTTTCTCTTCCCATCCCCCCCCATGGGGCCCTAATTTGAGCTCACCGCTGATGAGGGTTGAGGCCATTCCGGAATGCATTCATCAATTCCAGTCGAAATCAGGTAATGTAACTGGAGTTGGAATTAAATTCGAATTTCAGGGAGATTTTAATTCCAATTCTTTTCCCCATGTTTTTTTTCCCCAATCCCAACTCCCGGTTCCATTTCCTGATTTGGATTGGAACTGATGAATGCATTCCGGAATGGCCCCAACCCTGACACACACAAACATGCACACCGCCATTCTCCTAGACACAAACAAAGGTTTTAGATGTGTTGTTTTTAGCTTGCATCCATGGCGACCAGGATTATGTAATGTTGTCCTTCTCCCTCTGCCCCCCCCCCAGCCCATGTGCCAATCGTGTGATCCAGATGGAGCCACAGGCATACCTGGATGGCATGGAGGCCGGGCGCTACAGCCCGCCGCCGTCCTACAGCAGCCACGGCTTCGCACAACAAACGCACATCACCATGCAGTCGACGGTGCAGCTGCGCACACAATACGACCCGCGCACGCAGGCCTTCTACACCACGGCCGAGCCGTGCTCTGAGATCTCCGTACAACCCATCAACAACAACAACAACAACAGCAGCGGCCAGAGAGGCCAGGCCGGCTCTGGCTACACCCCCCAGGCCCAAGGCGAGGCTGCTGGCTTCCAGAGTCCTGAGAGCACCAGCTCCATGCGGGACCTCCTCTCTCGGTCGGCCGAGCCCCCCCTGCGCTGTGTGGAGCCCCCCTGCTCCCACTGGACCTTTGCTTCCTTCGCCGAGAAGCACTATGCTCCCTTCCTGCTTCAGCCCACCACCAAGGTGAGCTTTTCCTCATTGACCTGCCTTTTCATATCTGCTGCACCCAATAATCTCTGCCCTGCCCCTTTCCCATCGTCCCGCCCCTTCCCCTGGTTGGGAGTTTCCAGTCGTGCCATTGGCCGAGAGCTGCAGTAGCAGGGCTTTTTGATAGAATTCCATTGGGTGCAGATGTCACAGACTTCAGAATGCTTCAGGAGGACAAGCTCTTAAGAAGCCAGTCCTGGGGGATCAGTCGCCCTGCTGAGTGACCTTTTAAATTCTCAGGGAACAAATCAACTTTGCTGTGTTATTCAGTGCAGCAGGGTCTGTACAGGTTTAGACTGGTGACCGGTTTATAGATTTAAATCTTGTGTGTAGGAGCAGGATGCTTGAGCTGTCCTGACCCAACCCTGTGCTCTCCTCCCTCCCGCCAATCTCAGGTGGTGGTCATCGTGCTGTTCCTCTGCCTGTTGGTCGTCAGCCTGTATGGCACTACTAGGGTCCGCGATGGCCTGGAGCTCACTGACATTGTGCCGCGGGAGACCCGCGAGTACGACTTCATCGGTGCACAGTTCAAGTACTTCTCCTTCTACAACATGTACGTGGTGACGCAGGGCGCGGACTATGCGCGCGGCCAGGCCCTGCTCTACGAGCTGCACCAGCGTTTCGGCGCCGTCAAGTACGTGCTGCGGACCGACGACGGCCAGCTGCCCCGCATGTGGCTACACTACTTCCGGGACTGGCTGCAAGGTAAGAGCCCTACCCAGTGGGTGGGGAACATCAGAGGGGCCGTAATTCATACAGAGGGGCCAACCTTCTCATTAGCCAAAGACACGTTTTGAACTGGTGAGTGACAGGGGTGGCACTCTAGGGACCAATCAGCTGTCAGTTGGGGCCACCCTGGGGTGGCATTTTGTCCCTCACGTGCGACACGCCCTCTGACGTGCAACATCGAGTACTTGGCGATGTCCCAGAAAATCGGGTCCTCTCTGTTCTCCAAGCTACCATTATCCATGCTTACACACTCATTGGTCCCTCCTAATTTTTGGGCGCCTGAAAGTCTTCCTCTTTCTCCCCCCTTGTGGGTGGCCCGGCCTGTGATACTGGGGGAAGGGGGGAGGTTTCTTTGACCCAGTGTCAATTGGCACGTGAAATATAATTCCCTCAATATTCACAGAACATCTTGCTCTTGTCTGGAATCCCGGGTGTCACGCCACATCCTGGGGAGGACAAGGACCTCTTACAGTGCAGTCTCCCTCCCCGTGCTGTTGTTGAAAAGGCCATTTTTTTTTTTATTCCGGATGGTGCTCTCATGGGGGGCCGTCAACTCAGCGGGGGGGCGAGCTCTTGCCGGTGGCGACTCGCTGACTGCACTTTTGTCTACGGGAAATCGGTAGTCGGACATATTTAAGAGAAGGAAAGTATTATTATATTTGTCTCCCATTTGCCTCTGTCATCGGAATCGGCCAGATGTTTGTGTGTGCGGGTGTGTGTATCTGTCTGCCTGTGAGAAAGCAAGAGAGGGAGAAGGATAGGGAGGAATGGGGGGCGGTACGCTTCAAAATGGCCTGACAAATTGGAGCCAGACTGCGAAACAAGGAAGACTGAAAACAATGTGTCTCACAAATGAGCCACAGGCGATTGGAGAGAGAACGAGAGCGGCGGGGGGGAGGGGGGGTTAGGGGAAATGCTAGATTGTGGTTTAAAAGAGAACAGCGGGTGGGCGATGGGTTTGATGCTGGAGGTAAATAAGAGTAGCTGGGTCCTTTGCCCAATCCCACATTTTTTATTTTGCAAATTTTTCAACTATATTTTGCAACTTTTTTTTAATTTTTTTTTATAGAGTCACTTTAATTTCCCCCCCAAACAGAATGACTGACTGAGCATGAGGGGCTACAGAGGCTAACCTTAATGCGCTCACACGGCCGTAAACCCCATCCTTCCTCTAGCACGCTCTGCACTGAGCTGAAACTCATCTGTCCACTGGGCCCCCACAGCGGCAGCCTCAGAATGACCCGTCGCAACCCCAGAAAGATAAAGTGTAACCCCCCCCCCCCCCATAAGAAGTGGCACGTGGGGGTGATGACACCGCCAAATATCAGCTTTAATTATAGATTAGCTTGAGTAATATTTTATGTCGTTGAACGATGAAAGGAGGAGCCGGGAGACGAGATTGATACGCGGGATGGAAACTTTACACTCGGAAAACGTAATATAGGCTGTCGGTGGTGTGATTTATACGCCCGCCCTGGGTCTCGCAGGCGATGTTTAGGTCGCATGAGCACCAGGAGGCCACATGCACGGTTCTCAGGGTCTTACTCCATTGCCAGGCCCCTGCATCCTGTCGCTGTGGTTGCAGCTTCAATGCGTTCGCCTAATGGCCCGTGGATTTAAATCTGATTAATCAGCGGGTTGGAGAGAGTTTATAGGTTTATGGTTTTGAATCAAAAGTCCTTGTCTCCTCCCTTAAATTAAAAATGCACACCCCCAAGGGCTGCGTCGAGACGTCCGGGTGTCACCTGCACTTGGTTTGACAGCTCTGGACAATGGACCTGAAGGAAGTTTGGAGCAGTTCTTAGAGACAACTCAGGAACCAGGAACATTAATTAGGTGGAAAGACCTTGCCTGTGCCCTCAGCACCAGCTTCTTTAGACCGCAGAACTATAGGCCTCGTGCCAGGCTGGTTAGAGTTGGGAGGGGATTGTGAGACTAGATGGGGACACGTTCAGGGACGGGAAGAGGAGTCTAAGCAGATAAGCGTGACTGTCCCCACGCCGAACCCACTCCCCACCAAAGGTAACAGCCAGTGTGGAATTAGGCCAGAAAAGGAGGACATGATGCATCCCAGGGCTGTTTTGGATGGGGGGGGGCAGCATTCAGTCACAAAACCTTGGACAGCTTCACTTTCATAATTGCCGAAATTGACACACTTGACTTCCCTGAAAAAGTACTTAAGGCTGTCAGTGCCGACACCCACACCCCTTTGCCCACAAACCCTTTCACTTTACCACAAATTGCATTCCAGCCCCTAAACCAGGGGGCTTTATAGAGGCTGCAGGCAGGCTGATGCAACCTGGACTGCTCCTATGAAAAGTACAGTGGTGGCAAGCAGGGGAAGCTATAAAAGCAGCGTTTGTGGGTCATGGAGCTGGGCGTCTGCAGTCTCTGCATGTTTCACCATGTTCCATGTCTTTGTCCTCGGCAGGTCTTCAGAATGCCTTCGACCGTGACTGGGAGGCGGGGAAGATCACTCAGACCAACTACCGGAATGGCTCAGACGACGGGGTTCTGGCCTACAAGCTCCTGGTGCAGACTGGCCGGAGAGACAAGCCCATCAGTGCTAACCAGGTAAGCATGTTGTCGGTCTACGAGCCCGTCGGCTTTGGACAACCGACACCTTTAGACCCAACAGATTCATGGAAGAGGCGTTTCAAACCGTTCAAGAGCAGCCCGTTTTAACACTGAACATCTATTGAACCATCTAGTGGAGCATGGAGGTCCTATAGATGGTTATGTACAGCAGTGTTCTGCAGGAAATGAAATGCAAGCAGCATGTCATTCTAGCGGATAGATGATTTTCAGCCTGTCTCAAGCCATTATCATCTTGGGCAGTTAGTTTTGTGAATAAATATCACGTTTTTCTCTAGACCGGTTATTTGGCGCTAGGAAGGTCCAAAAGAGATTCCGCTTCCGGACTGGCTCGGCGACACCGACTTCCCAATGTGTTTGTGGGCTGTCCGCAGAAAACCACACCTGGCTTATAAATGCACTTCACCCTGATTGCCTTACCAAGCCCTGGAATTTAAAGGACTCACAGGAGCTGTAATCCGCCTCTGAAAAAACCATTAACTCTTCGTTCGGCCTGTTTTTATTATTTATTTTTTTTTTCGGATTCTTTTTCTGCGGAATGAAAATTTTTGAGCTAGTGACTAACTTCCAAAGCCCCACCCCCCTTCCCCCCCC